GCTGAACCGAGAAGAATGAGCACGAGTATTGGCCACATCAAGAATGGGAAAAAGAAAAAGCTGAGAAGAGAGATGATATCACAAGAAAACAAAGAGCTCCCAAAATAACCGACGCTAGATGTTCTATCTGTGAAAGAATATGCAATACTATCACTGGTCCGAAAATCCATATCACTAAAAAGCATCGAAATAACAAGGAAGAAGAGAGTCTGAGAAAAGCCGCGCAACATTCGCCTCACGCAAAACAGTGCGAACCTCACAAAACAGTGCGGGTGAGCACCCCAGAATCGTGACCATTCTGTAAACTTTCTCAATCTAGGGGTTACTTAGCTACTAGACACAAAGGGGTTTGCAAAGGAAAAGCAGCACTAGCTATCACCACTGTCGCGCCAATCACGAGGGGCTCGAACAGGTGAAGAACATGTGACGTATGCTGCGGCAACTTATCATACTCCAATTTCGCAAGACATCGGAGAGTGTGTGAACCAGGATGATGACAATTCCGTCATGATAAATGCCTTCAAAAAGAAAAATAGTCAGTCCAGTCCAGACAGCTTTTAGAATTTTTAGCAGCTCAATGGATACGATTCGAAATCTTCATCTAAAACTAGCAGAATAAGAGTTTCACGGGCACATCAAGAAAAACATCTAGAGGTGATCAAGAATAATTAGTTTAATTTTTCAAAATAGATTAAAAAAAGTTTTCCGAACGACGATTGCAGGCCCATTTCCGTCAGCAACTCAAAATGAGAAAGCTGCCTACATCAACAAACAAATTGCTTTGAAATCACTTGTCTTAAGTCACTTTGAGTATTTTTGCAACTTATTCTAGGAATCAGTACCAATCTAAGTCTTTTGAAAGCCAGTTGAACTTGACAACTAAATTTTCGTTCAGTAAAAAAAAAACGTTTATGGTTTGACTCAATTGAAAACTTAACAGAGAGGCGACGCACAGCTTCGCACCACTTGTGATACCAAACAAATGTAACAACGCAAGCAACTTTTGTCTCAACTCTGTTCAATTTGAGGAAAACTCATCCTGCAACACAACAAGCCAAAAATAAGAAATTATGCCACGTCATAATTGGTAATTTACAAATAACAGAAATGAATCAAAACTCTTTCTATTACAAAACTTTTATTTGAAAATTCAATTTTCTCAGCTGTTTTTTTAAGACAGTTCAATTTGAGGAAAACTCATCCTGCAACACAACAAGCCAAAAATAAGAAATTATGCCACGTCATAATTGGTAATTTACAAATAACAGAAATGAATCAAAACTCTTTCTATTACAAAACTTTTATTTGAAAATTCAATTTTCTCAGCTGTTTTTTTAAGACAAAGGTGTTAAACCGATTCCAACCTAGGACCATAGCCGTGCCAAGACCAAGCTTACCGGAGAAGCTGAAAAATCAAACTATCGAATTATTCAAGTGATTTCGTTAAACTAATTGTTAACCCAATAAATTCTATATTCCGACTTGATAACGCTTACTAATAGCAAGCGTAACATAGAGGCGAAGATGAGTTTCGCACCACTTGCGATACAAATTTGATTTAAATCACGGAAAAATTTGAACAAAAAATTAGAAAAACTGTTCTTGTCAAAAAAAAAATGTTGGTAAAAAAGGTGGTCTCATGCATTTGTGTCCCTTCTAAGCCAGATGATTGACTGAAATTGAATTTATAACTAACAAGCAATAAAAAAACCGAAAATACCTGAGCAGAAACATTTCAGATCAAAAAAATCAAAACAATTTTAAACTGATAATTTCATGTCCCTTTCCCCCCTCAGAGCACAACAACGCACACAAAATTTTCTCGATTTTCAAACGACGCAAAAGAAACCCACAAGGTCAATATAAAATTAACCAAAATTTAATTAGCCGACAAAAGATAAAATTTGAAAAAAAAAAAGAAATTTTCCCATATCGAGCTAGTAAAATTACAACCAATGAGCAAAAATAAAATACGATTCGGCCGGACATTTAAAATGCTAAAACACTTAACGCAACATAAGTGAAAACTGTTTACAGAAAAAAAAAACGATTCTTAGATGCGGCAACTAAGCCGACAAAATATGAGCAGACAAAAAAAGGCCGAAATTTTTTTGAACCGGAATAGTTAACCGTTTGAAAAAAAAACGGGTCCTAGTCAGATTTGAGCCCAAAACCTTTGCCGTCCTATTCGTTACCTCCAGGATAAGTGTACAGGAGACACTACGAAATTTGAATTCATCATGAACCAAGGTACCGCGAGTCCAGATGTGTCCTGTAGACGAAGTTGTTTACGGGAAAAAAAGACTAGCACCCGATTGCTGTCCCGAGCATCTAAGTTGACTGAGCCCTAAATGCGTTTGAAACTTAATTTGATTATAAAACCAGTTATCAAATGTCTTCAGATAGCAGATAAGGCAATCCGAGTGATACGTGTTGCAAGCTTGAGAATCCCGAGATAAGAACGGTGGTTATTGGCGCGATGCGCCGACGCGAACTCACATCCAGATCCAGAGAAAGTATTATTTCACATTCTGTTATGTTGCTTTCAAATTTTGGCACAAACCCTTCACGAACGAGGACCTCGTATCGATTTCAGAGGATTATGATTGGTTGAAATTTTCTTTTTGGTGCTTCGCCATTAACAGTTGCATCGTACCATAAAACAAGATGTTATTTTTTAAATTCCAGACATATTCGAAACTTCCAGCAAAATCTTGCCCATTAACGTCCTAAGCGTTTTACTCAAGAGCTGGCTAAACACAGACCCTATGAAAAAAACTAAAGTGATGAGTCTGTTGCTGATTTTTGGTTAAGTTTATAGCATAGATAGCTAAATTTGATTGCGTTTTCCTAACTTCGGCACTTTCAATTGAACATAGCATAGCCAACATACAGTAGGAAAAGAATCAATGAACACAAGGAAACAAAAAAAGACTTGTTCTTTGAACGTTTTAATTTTTTTTTAAATATGGCCTTAAAAAATTTTGAATTTCAATAAAAAAGAATTAACACTGGACCAAATGGGTGGAAAAAATCATCGCGACCTATATAAAAATCTTGTTGTTGTAGCTACATCGATCTCTGCTTCGAGCTTCCGATTGAATTGGGAGATCGCCAAGGTTTGAGAGATAGAGAAAATGTCAGGGAATTTTCGTTTTTAATCAGTATTCGTCATGTCAATCTTTCACTGCAGCTCCCACAAGGTCTCTAGCGGTAAAAGCGAGCAGCTTTAAATTAGTGAGGAGAGCCGAGAAAAAACTTCCGTTATCTCAGGTTGTGTAATTCTGCCGATGCTTGGCAGCTTTTTCGGAAATCTCCCATAACCTCTCAATGGTAAGGATGGTGGGGTGCAACCGGCCATCTAAGAGATGTTCGGTGGTGCGTGGTCCTATCAAACAAGTTGAGCAGATGTCGGGTACATTGTTGTTTAGTCTAGGTTGTTAACTATTTAAATGCGTCGAGTACCCTAAGATGTGAGACTGTACATCTGCTTTTTCCGTTCGATTGTAGTTTCGTTTGCTGATAATAGTGGTAGTATTTTGCCTAGTAGCTCAGATTCTTAGTTCAGAAACTTCTGTACTTCTGATGTATGGAGACTCCTCTGACACAATCATGCTGAGAGATGCCTTCCTGTTTTTCGATAAGCAAGTGTTCAATGTCGGGTTTGAACTTATGTTCGAGTGTGGATCTGATGTTCTTGATAGTCAGCTCTGTGCTTTTGGTAGCAGCCTACCAAAAATTGCTTTGAGAGCATTTCATTGACTTTTCGGACCGGAATATTTTTGTTTCGTCGTGTAAATGTGTGATGCCACTCATTCGTAAGCATCTTTCTGTTGCTCCAAGGACATTGCTCCTCGTCATTTGACGGTGCTTCCAGTTGGTGTAACTTAGGGTGGGGGTCCAAATGGGAGCAGCATAGTTCAAGACTTGTAGGTCTTTTTGTTTTGTAATGTTTACACAAAAGCGAAGCTGCATTTCGCATACACAAGCAAAAATATGACCGATAACGCTACTGGGAAAAACTGAATGAGTAAGACTTTGAGTCTACAAAAGTTCTTGAAAGACGCACGTCAATTATGAGTCTGCGTAATTGCTAAGTGATGCAAGCCAATTATGACGCATTAGCAACACCGGTAAATTTGAATAAAAAAGAAATTTACCAAGTAACATGCCTCAATTTATATAGCGGACGCATTTTAACTAGTACACGAAAAAGTTTATTAAAACATCCGACGCTTCCCCGGTTCGAACCCCCTTTTTCGTTGCTGGTCTCCTTCCTTACCTCTACGTTACAGATCCATGATACCTTGAAGCTTGAGTGCTATTTGTAATTTAATAGTTTTTGTTAATATCCTTAGCATTGGCTGTACTTAATAGCTGGTTATTGATCAAAATGAACACTTTCAAAATTAACACATTTGGTCGAAACAAAATTTGCGCCGCAACAATATTTGCGACTTAGGTTCGAAAAAGGAAAAAAAGCTTCGCTTATTTAATGATCAATGATAGTTCAGTTGATTGTCAAAAGTGAATTTTTGGGTTGCGTGTTGTGGGTGGTTTGGAGCCATCGACCATTATATTTTGTTCAAGGCAAAAATCCATAACCGAGTTAAAAAGATAGATGTTGTTGATTTTGTCTTTTCATAGAGACAGATTTCTGATCTTAAGCCAGTTGCTGAGGCTGTTTAGATATGGATTCATTTTTATATAAGATTTTTGATGTAGGATTTTGATATAAGAGACTTCACTACCTTATCGACTCTTAACAATCAAGACAAACCGAGCAGAAGCCTTTTCGAGCAGCTGCAGAATCTACAAGCGCCGTTGAAAATTGTGATACTATTAGTTTGTGAAACTGAAGTGACTTTAGCCAGAAGTTGAATTCTGTCGCTTGCGTGTGAAATTCTATCAGTTTCAAAATGCGAAGATGTTTTCAACTTATACGGACTCAGTGTCGACATATTAAAGAGAGTGATCAAACATAGCTTTGATGGACTTACATGCTGCAACTGCTTGAGAATGTTGACCTCGCTCAAGACGTCATTGGCAGAGCTGCGCAGCACCCCACTTGTAGTTGCTGAGGGTGCTATGATTGTACTAGTGAAGGACTTCTTGTCCACTATTTTCATGGCGAATTGACGGGAGAAATCTGCCTCGAGGAACACAAGAAACACATCCCCACACGCGCCTCTGAACACAGTTTTGAGGTATTTGACAAAAAAAAATTTCTGTATTTTCAGGACAACAAACTGTGCTACTTGCACAATAACAGGCTATCCTTGTTTTTCATTTACATTCGGCCAAATGGGTTTGATTGATATGTTCAGGTCTTTAGTGTTTCCCGCAAAGTTATTTCGGTAAGCAGGCAGGATCTACTCAACAATCCCCCCTTTCAAGAAAGAGGGAGATTCTGTAGTAGATACAATAGGGTGGAGATTGTTAAGTAGATACAATAGGGGGGGGGGAGAAATTGTTAATTAGATCCAACAGGCACAATGGAACAATATTAGAATTACGCGGGTGCCGGACATCAAGCCGACGGGACTTCAAGCCGAAACGTAAAGTTAGGGACTTCAAGCCAAAGATTTTCTCATTAAGTCATGATAATTGAATTATTTGAAAACTAAGGAATTTCCCATTTTCATGATCTTTCTTTAGTAGTTACAGGCATTTTCATAACATTATCCTCCAAATGTGATATTTAGGAAAGTTCAAAAATAAAAAATTAGGAAAACTGTTCTTGTCAAAAAAAAAATGTTGGTAAAAAAAGGTGGTCTCATGCATTTGTGTCCCTTCTAAGCCAGATGATTGACTGAAATTGAATTTATAACTAACAAGCAATAAAAAAACCGAAAATACCTGAGCAGAAACATTTCAGATCAAAAAAATCAAAACAATTTTAAACTGATAATTTCATGTCCCTTTCCCCCCTCAGAGCACAACAACGCACTCAAAATGTTCTCGATTTTCAAACGACGCAAAAGAAACCCACAAGGTCAATATAAAATTAACCAAAATTTAATTAGCCGACAAAAGATAAAATTTGAAAAAAAAAATGAAATTTTCCCATATCGAGCTAGTAAAATTACAACCAATGAGCAAAAATAAAATACGATTCGGCCGGACATTTAAAATGCTAAAACACTTAACGCAACATAAGTGAAAACTGTTTACAGAAAAAAAAAACGATTCTTAGATGCGGCAACTAAGCCGACAAAATATGAGCAGACAAAAAAAGGCCGAAATTTTTTTGAACCGGAATAGTTAACCGTTTGAAAAAAAAACGGGTCCTAGTCAGATTTGAGCCCAAAACCTTTGCCGTCCTATTCGTTACCTCCAGGATAAGTGTACAGGAGACACTACGAAATTTGAATTCATCATGAACCAAGGTACCGCGAGTCCAGATGTGTCCTGTAGACGAAGTTGTTTACGGGAAAAAAGACTAGCACCCGATTGCTGTCCCGAGCATCTAAGTTGACTGAGCCCTAAATGCGTTTGAAACTTAATTTGATTATAAAACCAGTTATCAAATGTCTTCAGATAGCAGATAAGGCAATCCGAGTGATACGTGTTGCAATCAAGCCGACGGGACTTCAAGCCGAAACGTAAAGTTAGGGACTTCAAGCCAAAGATTTTCTCATTAAGTCATGATAATTGAATTATTTGAAAACTAAGGAATTTCCCATTTTCATGATCTTTCTTTAGTAGTTACAGGCATTTTCATAACATTATCCTCCAAATGTGATATTTAGGAAAGTTCAAAAATAAAAAACGTTTGACGGCAATTTTCTTGTTTATAATTTATGCATTCCAAAACCGGCTGATATTGTTAACGGATGCCAATCCTAAGTAATGCATTGTCATGAATAACGCTTATTATGGACTAAACATGCCTAAAGTTTTGAAAAGCAACTTGTTTTTGATGAAAAAAGAGCGATTTGAGGTGCTTGTAAAGTTTCAATTTCGGCCTGAAGTCCTTTCGGCTTGTTGTCCTAGACCCCAATTACGCGTATAACACAATTCAGATTGGAAAATGTTCACCTTCCTATTAGAATTCAGATAGCGCAAACTAACTTCAGCGATCAAAGAGAGAAAGCGTCCAAAGCGGACAAATGCACAAAAAAAAGTTACAAATAATAACTTAAAAGTGTAACAAAAAGTAACCAATAGTAACTAGTACCTTAAAATTAACCAGCTGGCAACCTGGACTTGTAGGTCATGGTGCTAGGGATTTTAGCAGACCGGTTTTTCAGCAGACAGGGTTCTTTAACAGACACAGAACAATTATAAAGTGTGATAGCTAACTTCAAACGCGGCATTGGCGATTAGCGACCGCTTGTTCCGCTGCGATTCAACTTCAATTCAAAACGGGGAGGAGGGTTCTCAAGCTTTAAGGACCGAATGCTTGAAAACTTCAACCAATCAAAATCGCTAAGCATTTCTATTGGCTAAACGCTTTTCTCAGAAAATCGAAGTCAGTATTAACAGAAAATTTATTAAATCAGTGGAAAATAATCAAAACTATTACAAATTGCGGGTTACAACCGCATTACTATACAGATAATCATCAAGATTATTGAGATCGAAACCATAAGAATTTTTCAGTCTTGAAAACTTATCTGCTTATTATCTATTCGTCAATATTAACTTTAATGGCCTGGATTTATTTTCTTACTTTGAGATTTTCGCGATATACTTTGAGATTTTGAACACTCAATTCTGATTGGTTGAAAAAAAGCTAAAATAACTTCAAGCGTTTGGTTCATCAAGCATGAGGGACGCCGCCAATCAACACGAGTGTTATTGTGCGCTTACACCTTTGTTTTGCCGCTAATTTAGAGTCTTGTGTTATTTGAAGTTGATAGTTTTGTTGACAAATCGCGAGATAATTGTCTTAATTGGTGAAGCGTGGAGATTCTTTTTGAATCTGTCAATCAATCAACCATCACTTTATTACGTTTGTTTGTTAAAAGACTCGTTTTTAACTTTGTATGCTAAAAGAATAGTCTGTTAAACGATCGGTCCCCGTAGGTCATCTATCCTTAGAAAGAAATTGTTTTCTCTTTTGATCAATCATCCTCCCAACCAAGGAAGCTCATGGATTTCTCCCGATGCTGAACATCTCAATGATAACACTACGCTCATATACAGTGCTGATTTAAATTAAGATGACAAAACGAGCTAAACTTGAAATTTAAAAGGCGTTTTTCTCAATTTGGGTTGAGTTTAGGTGAAAAATTATGAAGATAAAACTTGCTTAAAAACTTAGCACAATTAGTATGGTGTAATTTGTTTCGCAAAATTCTGGCCAAAAACTTTACCACAAAAATGGGTCATTTTGGCTTTTCTTAGTTAATCAAAAAATACGCCAAAAATACCCAGTCGATCAAAGACATAATTATATCAAAGTGAGCCTCTTACGTAGCCCAACAAACTTTAAGAAGGGTATAATCTCCAAAAATAATTGCAAACCGTTTAAATAAAATTTTATATAAAAAGTTGATATTTTATACATAAACAAATCAATTTATACCATGTTTAGGAGAATATACCCAGCTTAAAGTTTGTTTGGCTACATAAGGGGCTCACTTTGATATAATTATGTCTGTGATCGACTGGGTATTTTTGGCGTAAATTTTGATTGACTAAGTAAAGCCAAAATGAACCATTTTAGTGGCAAAAGTTTTAGGCCCGAATTTCGCAAAAAAAATTACACCATATTAATTTTGCTAAAATTTTAGGCTAGTTTTATCTTAATAAGTTTTCACCTAAAATCAACCCAATTTGAGAAAAACGCGTTTTAAATTTCAAGTTTGACGCGTTTTGTCCGGTTAATTCAAATCCGCACTGTATCACGTCGAAAAATACGATTGAAACACAACGCTTAGCTAGCTATGCTATGGTTTTGCAAAAATAGCCAGTTGGCCAGACTAGGTTGGAACTCAAGTAGACATAAAGAGAGTAGAACCCAGCCTCTTACTGCAACGGAGAACTCATGATATACTGTTCGGTGTTCGGTGAATTGAACGGTGGAATCCCTCATACGCGACGGACCGAAAGCGCTAAAATTAAAATCAGCCAATCAGATTTCGGTAAACTAAAATTTGGAAAGAAAGTAAACATTTCCAGGGACTGAATATTGATATTGGCCGAATATGTAAACGACAGAAATAGGCAAAATTTTCAAATTGTCACTGACCGCCACCGAATTGGAACAAAATTCATATTTCAAAGGTTTAGTTATGAAAGAAGCAAAATGTTGCTTCATTTATTTCATTTTTATTGAATGGCAATTGCTTCTTTTCAAAAAATTGACTTTCGGCTAATTTTGTTTTCGGTCCTTCGCTCACGAATTTTTTCGCCCATTCAGTTCTTCGCGCATGTGAATAGACCCCGAATGAACTCATGGTTATGTAGCAGTATTTAGATAAGCGCGTATTCAGAGTCGTCAGTAAATAGACAAATACTGTATTAACCAATCAGAATCGAGACAAGGAAGAAATGATTAACTAATAAAAATTTATTTCAAAAATTTGTTTTCTCATCTCGATTCTAATTGGTTAATACAGTATTTGTCTGTATGGTTAATACAGTACTTGTCTGCGGGTGCCGGAAATCAAGCCGACAGAACTTTAAGCCAAAACGTAGAGCTAGGGACTTCAAGCCAAAGATTTTCTCATTAAGTCATGATAATTGAATTAGTTGAATTACTTTCCCATTTGCATGATCATTCTTCAGTAGTTACAGGCATTTTAATAAAATTATCCTCCAAATGTAATGTTTAAAAACGTTCAAAAATAAAAAACGTTTGACGGCAATTTTCTTATTTATAATTTATGCATTTCAAAACCGGCTGATATTTCTAATGGATGCCAATCCTAAGTGATTAATTGTCATGAATAACGCTTATTATGGACTAAACATGCCTAAAAATTTGAAAAATAGCTTATTTTTGATGAAAAAATTGCGATTTGAGGTGCTTGTAAAGTTTCAATTTCGGCCTGAAGTCCCTTCGGCCTGAAGTCCCTTCGGCTTGAAGTAACGTCGACTTGTTGTCCTAGACCTCAATTACGCGTATAAAACAATTCAGTTTGTAAATTGTTCACTTTCCTGTTAGAATTCGGATAGCGCAAACTAACTTCAGCGATCAAAGAGAGAAAGCGTCCAAAGTGGACAAACTCACAAAAAAG